TTATGTTGGTAAATGATTACCAGGTAGAAGGACGAGATTCTCCTCTCGGGCTAGCTTCATGCATAAATCAAAATCACTTGTAATGTCCTCCAAGAGTGATAGGTCCAATTTTGTCTACGTTATATATATATACATAGTTTACTTTGGGATTAATAAAATGTCCTTTATCTATACGAACTGCTACTTTGCATGCAAATATATAAAGATTTGTTGTTGAAGTAAATGATATATATGTTGGTATTAAGATAGCAATTGGTACCATTAAGAAAGTACACGACTCGGGTTTCTTGTGGCAAATGAGGCAAGGAATGTCCTTAAGTGCATCGAACGCCAAAACTACGTTTTGACTCAGTATCGAGTTATTCTTCTCAAAAAAATCTTTTGTTGTCTTCTCCAAAATGTTTGGAAGTGCAAACTTTCCAATTAGAACAAAGCAATTAGACAAGGCAACACATTAGCGATTACATATATACATGTAACTCATAGCATGCAACATAAACTATCATAAGACAAACCTGTAAAATCGTTGATGGATCTGGACTTATGTCGAGATGCTCCTTGATGGATTCAACGACCTATTCAAACAGACACATCTAAAAGTGTTTTTGTCACGACCGTGTCCAGATGATTTTTAATTTTTTCGTGGAAATGTTTTTGGATCAAACATGAAAGATGAAACAGAAGAAATTTTTATTTAAAAGGGATTTAAATGGATTAGGCTTATATAACGTTTCCTCTTCAACGCTAAACGAGCCCATCAAGCCCAATTAACCCATCGAAAACCCTAATCATCCACTATATAAAGAGAGAGGATATGAGACTTAAAGACCAAGAGTGCAGTTGCGGCGAAACCCTGACCGTTTTACTTTTCACCTTGTAAACCCTAGCTGCCCTTGGAACTGAACTTCACCGCCGGATTGAGAGACGATTTCCCGACGAACCGTCACGAACTGTGCGACGATATACATATCTATGGAAAGGTCCGAGTCTCAGCTTTCCAGAAAATCTAATAACGTCTCGATCCAAGTTTTGTGGTGAAAGTTATGGCATGTTCTTTCCAACTGTCGCGATATGTCTTTTTCTCGAATAACTGCAGATTTGATCAGTTTCGGTGAGGAATAGAAACCAAGGATCAAATCAATTCGGATCGATATGAATATTGGTAAGGACTTTTCTGACTCTCTTATTTACCAAGACAGAAAGCGGTTTGTCATTTGAAGTTGTGATATGAAAGTTATGGATGTCTTCTCGTAGTTGTTATCTGCTGTGAGAGTTTCCGACCAGTCAGAGGAGAATTTACGCTGGAATTTCGTCAATGATCGGATGAAGCTTATATTTGGTAAGCAGATTTTTAACTCTCTGATCTAGTAATATTTGAAAGAAGTTTGTCATTCGATGTTATGGAATGAATGTTATGGATGTTTTACTTGGACTGATCTGTATAGAGTGAGTATGCGACCAGCTGATTTCGCATACGTTTTCCCGCCAAATCTAGAAGAACTAGATGTTGATATGGCGTCGTTAGAAAGATCACGGATTCTAGTTTTTGTAGAAGCTTTCGGTTCTAAATTACGAGGTATGATCTGCTCGTAATTCGTATTTCAATATTAAGAAACATCACTGTTTCTGAAATTGGAATTCTTATTTTCATATCTGATTAGAGAATTTGTGAGCTGATTTTCTGTCGTTCTGAAAGGACCCAGAAGACGATATGGATATCATTGGAAAGATCCGAGTCATGGCTTTCTAGAGGCACCAAGTTTGTCTTGATTTGAGTACGAGTAAGAAGTTATAGCTGTTTTCTTCTGACTTGTATAATTTGACTAAACTAAATAAACATTTTAGGAAGTTTAATAATAAAATTTAAAACATGGGTTCCTAATCGTAGATTCGCAGTAGCTCATTATTCCATGTCAATCTATCCATAAAGGCTAAGGTGAGGGTGTTGTCTAGATTACTTTAATACTAGTTAACACTAGATGTTCTTACATGTTAGTCTAGGGATGGAATGTGATGTTGTTGGTTATATGTGCTAAGTCTAGGAATGTTTGATGCTTGCTGATTCTTAGTAAAGATTGTTTGATGTGTGGAAATTGATTGGTAGTTAAATGAAGTTAAAGATTAAAAAATATTGTTTGAGATTGTTAGAGTATAGGATAGTTGATATGATCATGGATAGCAAGAAAGCTGAGGAATCAGAAGCTGAGGAGGAACCGGAGCTAGTAGGAGGGATCACTCGTTCTAGAGCTAAGGAGATGGCCAAGGAAGCTCATTCACTCATAGCA